GACAACCTCCGTGACGGCGCCAACTAGTAAGCAAACATCCTATACTACTCATCTCTTGGAGCGTTCTCCCCCAGACACCTTTGGACTCACACTTACTTGAATCAGCGCCTTCTTCAACGACCTCACCTACGTCGCCCCCAAGGTCCCCTCGCTCTACTCGGCCCTCACCGTCGGCGGCGCCAACGCCACGGACGCCCGGGTCTACGGCACCCACACCATCTCCCATGTGCTCCGCCACCACGACGTCGTCGAGCTCGTGCTCAACAACGGCGACGACGGAAAGCATCCCTTCCACCTGCACGGCCACAACTTCCAGGTCGTCCACCGCTCGGGCCCCGACGCCGGCGTCTACATCGACGACGAATCCCACGTCCCGCCCAAGGTCCCCATGCGCAGGGACACGGTCTACGCCGAGCCCAACGGCAACTTTGTCATCCGCTTCCGCGCCGACAACCCCGGCGTCTGGCTCTTCCACTGCCACATCGAGTGGCACATGGACCAGGGCCTCGTCGCCACCATCGTCGAGGCCCCGCTGGCCCTGCAGGCCCAGGAGATCCCGGCCGACCACCTCGACGCGTGCCGCAAGGGGGGCGTCCCCACGGCCGGTAATGCCGCTGGCAACACGCGGGACGTGTTTGATCTGCGCGGCGAGAGCAAGCCCGTGCCGAGGCTGCCAGAGGGCTTCACGGCCAAGGGGTACATTGCGCTCGTCGCGAGCTGCGTGTCGGCGTTCATCGGTCTGGCTTCCATTGCGTGGTACGGTACCATTGGCATGGAGGAGAAGAAGGGCAAGGCTGTCGATGATGATGATGAGTGATCATGTGCGTCGCGTCCATGGACGATCTTTCAGTATCAGGGACGATGCTGAAGACATTGAGGAAGATCTATGACATATACTGAGGATAACCCACGCCATTGAGCGTGCGGAGGAACCGAGTTTCTTTGGCCATATTCAAGGTATCTGACCAGCTGATGAGACGAATGTGTAGCTCCAAGTGCCGAGACGCCATGATACTGAGCTTATCCGACCAGAACACGGCTGATGAGTTGCGCTGCAGTATATAGGGACGCTGGATGGAATAGCGAGTCGTGTCATGGAGTATGCATAGCATAGTCCACAACAGATAGCAGGATGGTTTTTTTGTTTTTCCCACATGAATTAAGACTTGGGAAGCATTTGGAAGCCATCCCACCACACCGCCATCACTAGTCAGACCTCAGGTGGATGCATCGCTCGTCTTTTCGCTACATAATATAGTCAAAGAAAGTAATGAAATCATGTACTCAGTACACTCAAAAGGTGCAAAAGCGCTCTCACAGTCCTACTCAGCAGGACTGCCTCCCATTCAAGACCCCTCAGCCCATCATCCGTCAGACCCTCCCAGCCCACCCAAGTGCAGCTGACCGCGTATTCAGCGCCCAAAGGCCGACCCAGGAGCGACGAAACCCGATATCGTCAAAGCCACCCCCTCAAGCAGCGTTGACGCGGGCAATGAGGAACGCGGGCGCCGGGCCCCTGGCGTCGCTGCCGTAGGTCAGGTGCGCGGCCGTGACGATGAGGGAGCCCGTGCAGACGAGGTCGCCGACGTTGCAGAAGACGCGGGTGCGCTCGGCCGGGTAGTTGATGATGCGGCCCCTGTTCTGCAGGTTCTTGGTGTAGCCGAAGAGGACGGTGCCGGCGACCTTTGCGCGGATCGTCGAGGAGATGTCGCGGATCGAGGCGGCGGCGAGGGCGGCCCCTTGGCTGTGTGCGTTTGTGTCCCGTCAGCTCTGTCTCCTTATTCATATCTTGAAAAGAAAGACGGGGGGCAGAACGCAGAGGGCCAGGTGCAGGAGGAAGGAATAGGGGCAGAACTGGGGGACCTACCTGTAGCCGCCGGCGATGATCTTGGCGCTGGGGCACTTGCTGTCGGCGAGCTCGAAGAGGCCCTTCATCTCGCGAATGGCGGCGCTGCTCGTGCCATCGGGCAGCGCGTTGTCGCCGAGGGTAGCGGCGTAGGCGCCGCCGACGCCCTGGATCCAGACGCCGGTGCTGCCGTACTCACGCTCGAGGGCCGTGGCGATGGAGGGTCCCAGCGTGCCCTGGTCTTGTCAGCCCGCGAACGTGTACTTGGCCCTTCATGCGCTCTACCTACTAGATTGCCGCTCTCGGTGGAACCGCGGGCGTAGATGAAGATGACGCCGGGGCACGTGCGGCCGTTCTGGAGATCGTTCCGGGTGATGGCCTGGCGAGCTTCAAGGTGGCTGGCTCCAGCGGGCTGAAGCTCGAGCTCTGGGACTGCGGCTGGAAGAGCAGCGGTGAGGCCAGCGAGGAGAGCAGTGGCAGTGAAGAACTTCATGATGGCGGGTGTTGTTGGGCGGCAAGTTGCTTGTATAGCACCAGATGGGAAGAAGCGAGGAATCAAGAGAAAGGGCAGAAGATGCTGGAGAACCGAGAGCTGGATGAGCCGGGCGAGAATCTCAATATTGTTTGAGAGCGACTTCAACTCCTATTTATCATTTACCAACTCGAATCGGGAGGTCTACCTAGCAGCACTTGAGCCTGGTTCTTCGTCAGCCGGAGGACGCAACCTGTTGAGCTATGGCACCAGTCAGTCATCGCGCCGGCGCACCCCATAGCTCAGGACACGAAAGCCGCTATCGTAGGCCAGTCCAAGCGTAGAGCCTCCTCCTACTCTACTTGGACCCGCGATGATGGAGCTCACCCGTCGTAGTCTGTCGATCATTGTTCTCCCAAGCTCCAAGCCACCGCCGGCAGATCCCTGGCTGTGGGGACGAGCCAAGACCCCTGTCTTACCACAATGTTCCGATGGGCACATCCCACAACAGACGAAGCCTTGCCTAATTCGGCGCATCTTGCGGATGGCGTCCACCGCGAGGCATCCCACAGAGGAATCCCACGCGTTGCACCGTTGCTTCTGATGATCAGTGGAGGCTCGCGCAGTGCGGGGGGCCTATGGCAGAGCGTCGAACCTTGGCCAGAGCCGAGGCTGTTTGCAACGTTCGTATGAGTAGGGCTCCCAGAAGGAAACGTCAAGCCGGGGTGCACCATTGCAATGGGTGTCGGCATGGGAGCCGCGATTGGTCGAGACGTTGCTTCTTGATTCTTTGCATACTGATCAGGTTGGGGAGATCAGGCTAGACCGTGTTTCTGCACTCGCACATGTGCTGACAGCATGTCGTGGCGAGAGACACCGGATGGCATAGACTGTGCGGGAGACAAGCTACCCTGCTATTGATCGTCCAGTCAACCCATGGAAGTATTCTAGGCCTTTTTGCCCTTTCTTTGTTGTGCGCCCACCCGGATAGTATAGCGGCCGTAACGCCTCATTGCGGGAATTCAACTTGGTCTAACAGCTTCCGTTCCCATAGTAGAGTCCGAGCGGACGCCGTTGCTCGTTGGTTCCACGGACAGCCTAATCGGCAGATGGGCGGCGCCATTCCACTAGTCAGGCAACTCTGGCAGGGCAAGACATTGGCGACGTTGCTGCTAACAAATAAAAGTCTTCAGGGCAAAGATCTTCGGCACTCGTGGTACTTGCATGATGGAGGGGATGGAGGGCTAGAATCCGGGGTAAGACGCCATCAAGTGCGCAGTGCGTTGCGCTATGCAGACTGAATGCGAAGAGGCAAGTCTTTCCCCTCCCTGAAAGCACCGAAGCCGAGGCATCATGATGGCGATATTGCAAAGTCCCAGAGAAACCCCGCGCTGCACGACCCCAGACTTTTCCGTGTGACGCTGTGGCATGCGTAGATCGATACCGGCACCCCGGTGGCGTTGTCATCCTCGAAGAAACAAGCAGAAGGCTGGGCTTGTTTGTGCTGTCTTCGATGACGATGCCTACGCTTCAAGACTGTTCTGCGCCCCTTAATCTATCCGAGAGGTTTCGCATCACACGCCCAAGACTCGTGCTTGCAGGGCCGCCCTGTAAATGGGCAGCTAAAAGAAGCATTCTCTTTGATAGCACGAGTTTCAACAACAATCATTCGTCCAGATGCGAGCCTCGGTTCACACGCAAGGGGGAAATCATCTGTCTCGATGAGAGGGCAAAGAGTCTATTGTTTCCAGGCACAGGACCTTGTTCTCGGAGAAGAACAATGAAACTTGACTCAATCGAGAATCTTTTGCGACTTAAGGATTTCCGCAGAGCAGAAAAGCTGCATCAGCTCCGCGACACCTCACTACACCGCCATCACACCATCACCCACCTTACCTGCCTGTATGCTACTCGCAAGATTTAAAAACATAGATTACTGGGGGTTTGCTGGTGGTCGTCCACTTAACTACTAGTCTAGGCCCCGAATGGCATTGAAGTAGAGCCAGTGATGACCTCCTCAGATCAGGGCAATGAAGCAGTGATTCGAGAAAAAGATAGGTCCTTGGACGTGTGATGTAGGATTGATGATATGAGCACCTTGGAGGTCCTTACGACGAGTATAGCTAATGTCTATTTCCCTGATCAGCTACTCCTGATTACCTTATTGCTAATCTACACCTTTCCGCCCTGCCCGGTTTCACTACATCTATAAGAAAGTTGAGTGAGTTTTAGCTTAGCTTATAGACTAAACTAATAAGAGATAAGAGAAATTAAATAACTATTATTAATTAATAGTTCTAAAGAATTATCAAGAAATACGACTATCTTATAGCACTACTTTTTCCTTTTCTAGTAATATAGATAATATTATAATCTAGCTTAATTCTATTTACTAGAAGGGTTATAAAGCTCTATCTTCTAAATATATTAATAAGAGACGATTAGGCTAACTAGGGCTTGAGTTAAACCTTAAAGCTCATATATAAAATAATAAAGATATTAAGTAGTAGTACTGAGCAGTATAGGAGTAAGTAATCCTCATTCTTAGGCAATATACTTTGATTTTTTAGCGAGCGGAGCATGCTTGTTAACAGTCGCTGAGGAGAAGGGTCCACACTGCGGAATAACCTTTTGCCGACACCAGGACATGTCGCAGCCTCACCCAGTGACAATGTTCACAACGCGCTCCGGCGTTACTGTCTTGTCGACCTTGAGGTCGTTTGTCGCTGTCGCTATTGCCGCTCCAGATCGACATGCCCAAGAAACGTGATTAGATCCTATCTCCCTCTATACGTACCTCTAAACTACAATTCTGGTCGACGAACCAATCGGGCATCCAGACCCAGAACGATCCTGCGACATGTTAATATTTGCTTGCCGTCTTTTTCGAAAAGTCTACTGGTCGTTATGGCGCTTCCTCGCTCTGGTATCGCCAGGCTGCCTAACCTCGTCGGATCACTTGGCTCTACAGACATAGAGCGGCAAGATGATCCAAAGGTTTCCCCTTCTTCAGCACGGTGCCACAAGCAGGAGCTAAAGCTGACATGCGATGGTGACTTCCAGGCATTGCCTGTACCACGATGCCCTCCTTCTCTCGAGTATATCCCTATCTCAGGATCATGGGCGCGAAAAGAGCATCCCCACTGGAACGAATCGGTCTTTCAGAAGCCTGAAGAAGTTCGCGAAGGGGAAGTCTATTACTTTTCCAAGGGAAAGTTCATCGGCCTAGGATCGACGGCCTTTGTTGAGCTGCTCCCTTCAGGCCACATCATCAAGACGCCCAAGATGAGTCCCTACGACCTGAATGCGGAGTGGGAAAATCGGCAGAGCATGCTGCGCGAGGCCTCTATCTACCAACTACTCGGCGATTGCCCTTCTATCCCTCGCTTCGTTGTGTGGGACAGCGAGGCATACACATTGACTCTAGAATACCATCCCAGTGGAGATTTAGAGCACTACATTCGGCAGCGCCGCAAATGTCCCGACTCTGACTGTGATGATCAAGTCAGCCTTCGAAGCCTTCGACGGAAGTGGGCATTTCAAGCAGCACAGGCTCTTGCGGCTGTTCATGGTGCAGGGGTGACGCATCGAGATGTTGCACCGCGTAATTACATATTGACTCAAGAGTTGGACTTGCGGATTTGTGATTTTGCTGGAAGCTCGACGATGGACAGTGCCGTGACTAAGCATGCACCAGGACCGGGTTTCCAGCGTCAACCATGGGGACCAGCTTACGTCGTGACCCAAGCGGATGACATATTTGGGCTTGGGTCCGTCATCTATTACATCATGACGGATGAAGAGCCCTATCATGGCCTTGATGTCGACGAGGTAGACCGTCGTTTTTGGCGCCAAGAATTCCCGAGAGTTGACCATCTTGATGGCGGAAGCATTATCAAAGGCTGCTGGAATGGCCTGTTCGTTACTGCAGAAGATGCTGTATCGGCCTTGACCGACGGGTAAGAACTTCCCATATTTAACGATGATTCTAACTCAAGAACGAGTCCTACCACCGTATGCCTCGTCACCATGGGTTGTACAAAGTGTCCCCGTCTACCTTGCTCCAGGATGGCAGACTCGGACATCTGTGGGATCTGCGCACTGCCTGACTGATCATACCTTACTTGGTACAGCAGGTGTGATTATCTTCCGGTACATGCTAAAGAGGTCACGAGAACCTTGGCCAACTTGTCATTCAAGACATGGGTATCCAGATCTACTCTCTTTGAGGGCGTAGGTCTTCAGGCACCTGTAAAGTGTAGCATACAAGGAATCCCGTACTGCCGGTGGTCACAGCCTTTTTGTCCAAGATCCATGACATTTTCCCGCCCTCACAACCCTGAACCACGCCTTGTAGCTCTTTTTTTTTTCGCTCACAGGCCTTCCCAGGAGTCACCATTATCATTCCGTGGATTGTCTGCATGGCAGGTTGCCGCTGATCTGGCACTTGATTCTTTGCATGGCGAAGAAACCCCACCCTTCCATCCATCCACTCATGTCTTTAAAACCCTTCAATCGCAGAGCCTACCTATCACATGGATAGTGAAGGCTTGTGTCATTGGCAGCCCCGCTCGACGCATATATTAATGGGAGGGATATTAAGTCGTAGTAGCAGGGCGAATACTGATTGATACGATAATCCGATTCAAACCCTCCGGGAGGTCGACAAGCAGGGATATAAGCATAGACAATGGCTCGTCCTGCGAACAGTTGCGGTTCATCCTACCGCGGGCGGCTGCATTCAATATGTGAGACTGTCGCTTGACTTGCGCGGCGTCTACATGGAAAGAAGTAACTAGTCCGGGTTTGTGGTCCAGATATGATGGGCATCAACAAAGCTCGACCGCCGGCAAGAAGGGCCCAGCCTGCCACAAGGCCACCCCCACATCCCGAATCAGGCTCGAATCCAAGGGAATCCAGACTTTCGATCCCTGGTGTGAGGAGGCGGAGCCGAAATGTCCGATACATTCCGGGGAGAACCATGAGAGCATGTGTTGTCTCAAGTCAGGGCAGGATGACCCCGCGCTCTCGAGGTCATGGCTGCGAGCTGACGTCTCATCAAAGAAGAAGCAAGCAAGCTTCCTGTGCCCATCATAGGGCGACATGGTCCTTGCGGAACCCCGAAGTGGATTGTATGCTGCCGGTGCTGGATCGGACCAAGTTCGCTCCAGCCTTATACGGCCCGGCTGGCACCACGGCGATCACACTCCAAGCTCCGGCCATGACTGTCGATCCGGTACCGGTGACTCTCCCTCTTATGATTGATTTCTTATCTGCGATTCCAGGATGCTGTCTGCTGAGTAAAGTTGTCTGCTGGGTAAAGCTTCGTGTCGGATGCAAGAGGTATGTCCAAGTGAAAGCCCGGCCCAGCGTCCTCAAACAAGGTTTGTGAAGAGCCAAAACCCAACGCAACAGTCGGCGTAATTGAGACCGCTGCTTGATCATCATGGCATCAATACCCTGCGCTGAACACTTATGTGGTGAACGGAAAGGAAATCATGGAGATAAGGACACCCCTTAAATCCGTCACCATCCCCCGACTCGTGCTCTCTACAGCCGTACCCAAGCGACTGTCGGAATAAGATTCAGCTCCGGCTTTGAGGCCGGACTTGGTGGCGCACGGAACACAAAAATATCGGGGTTGGACCGTGAAGCACACGCAAATCCGACTGAGGTCGCTGTCTCCACGGCTCCGGAGTACTGTATCAAATGCCGGACGATCGACCATGATGGTCGGCATCAGATACACTCCGGTTCCGATGCCTTTCGCGTGCCTGTTCCGGTTGGCGTGAAATGAATCAATACTTGAATGCCGTGCTGATCGGTCTAAGTATGATTCTCCATGACATCAACAATCTCTGCACCACCAACACATTCCCCTGAAATCTCGTCAAGTTGCCCAGCACAATGACGTCTGACAGCAAGATGCGCGCCTGGATACACAAGCACAAGAATCTCCCCCTGGAACGGGGCCTAGTTCTGGACCAAGACCACGCCAAACCCCCGAAAGCCCTCAAACCAACGCAGATCCTCGTGCGCGTCAGGGCCGTCGGCATCAACCCAGCAGACCCCCTCTTCGCGGAAATGACGGGACTGCCGGGAACAGTCTTCATCAAGCCGACGCCACTGCCAGGCTTGGACTACAGCGGCGAGGTCGTGGCAACAGGCAGCGGCGTCTCCGTCCTGCGCGCCGGCGACCGTGTCTTCGGCCGCGTCGACACGCAGAAGAGCATCCCCGGGACCATGGCCGAGTTCACCGTGTCGGAGCTGGAGGGCTGCGTCGCCATGCCGCCCAGCGTCAGCTTCGAACAGGCAGCGGGCGTGGGCACGGCAGCCATGACGGCGTACGAGAGCATCGTACTCAACACCAAGGCCGGCGACTCCGTCTTCATCAACGGCGGAACGGGCGGCGTGGGGACGTACGGCATTCAGTTTGCCAAGGCGCACGGGCTGCGCGTCACCGTGTCGGCGTCGACGGCCAAGGTTGCGCTGTGCGCGGAGCTCGGCGCCGACGAGGTCATTGACTACCGGACGCAGGATCTCGTGGCGACGCTCAAGGCCAAGGGCCAGGTGTTTGACCTCGTCGCCGACTTTGCGTACCGCGAGGAGGCCGATCTGTACCGCGCCGCAGACGACTTTATCAAGAAGGGCGGCAAGTACGTCATGGTGCCCGGCCAGGTCGACGGCAGCACCATGCGCACCATAGCCAAGAACTCGGCGTGCCCGAGCATGCTCGGCGGAGGGAAGGCCAAGTTTGAGGCGTACTTTGCCAAGAGCAACCGGGCGGGCTTCGAGCAGATTGCCGAGTGGATGGCGAACGGCCAAGTCAAGACAGTCGTCGACTCTGTGTTTGCGTTTGAGAATATGCCCAAGGCCGTGGCCAGGGTCAAGTCAGGGTCGTCGACGGGAAAGGTCATAGTCACGGTTTGAGTCGCTCCTTTGGCGTAGGTTGCCAGTGAGGTCGAGCGTAGTAGTGCAATATTATCATTCACCTTCATCATCTTCATCTTCACCTCCCCTCTCGTCCCAGGCCCAAATCACCTCGTCGGCTCACACGTAGGCTCCCCCGACGGCACCCCCGGCAGAAGCGCAGGGTAGACACCCCCAAGCTTGCTCTCAAACTCGGCATAGCTCCTCCCAAGCTCCTCCTCCACACAGAGGGTCTTGTTCGAGTGGCCGACGACCACAGACTCGCACGCACCAGTGGCAGCCCGCTTGATCTTCTCCGCGGCCAGCAGAACCTTGCCGCCGCGCATGACGAGCTCGACGTCCTCGCCCGACGAGAAGACGGCCTGCGCAAAGGCATCCTCCCTCGGCGCACCCGCAAAGACGGCCACGTCCGCCAGCTTGCCGACCTCGAACGAGCCGAGATGGCGGTCAAAGCCCGCCACCTTGGCGGCGTTGATGGTCATCATCTCCCAGAGCGTCTTGGCGTCGAGCGCGTGGCCGTAGCAAGCCTTGGTGGCCGCGAAGCCGCAGACGGCCTCCCTCGCCATGGTCGCCGACCCCGACGGCAGCCAGTCGGTGCCGAGGGCGACCGTAATGCCGGCGTCGAGGAGGTACTGGACGTCGAGCGTCTTGCCGTACAGGAATACGTTGCTGCGGGGCGACCAGACGACGGTGGCCTGGCGCGCGGCGACGAGGTCAAAGTCGCTCTTCGTCAGGCCGAGGGCGTGGATGAGGGCGAGGTTGGGCGCGATAATGTCGGTGCTGAGCCCGCCGCCGCCAGCCATGGGAGTCGTGTCGTACGTCGCGCTCGACAGACAGCGAAACTCGTTCTCGGCCTCGGCGTCGACGCCCTCGCCGACGTGCGCCATGTAGCGGTACAGCTTGCCGGCCTTTTCGGCCGTCGTCATGTTGGGGCCGTAGTCGCAGTCGCCGTTGCGCAGGATGCCGGCGGCGTCGTTGAGCGGGAAGATGTCCCAGGTGGCGACGGGCGCGGGGATCTCCGGGCCCACGCCGGCGACGTAGTCAAGGTTGCGCGTCAGGCCGGGCGCCATGGCGCCGCCCACAATCGAGGTCGTGCCGGAGAAGAGGTGGCGGAGCTCGCCCCAGGCCGTGGCCTCGACGGCCGACCCGTTGACGGGCGCCGGACGGATGGTGTGGCCTCGCAGGCCGCGGCGCCAGTCGTGTCGGTGGTCGGCGCGCTCGCCAATGTCCTTGAGGGGCGTCACCGTCGCGTACTCGATGTGTTCGTGCGTGTTGATGAAGCCCGGTGAGATGACCGAGCCGACACACTCGATGACGGTGGCGTCCGACTCGTCGGCCTTGAAACCGCACTGGCGGCCGACATAGCTGATGCGCCCATTGCTGACGAGAAGGCGCGCGTTGGGCAGTGCGCCGGCCGAGGTGAGGACCGTTCCCTTGAACAGCGTCGTGCCAGAGTCAGATGTCGAAGTCACCTGGCAGGTCGCTTGGACCAGGGTGAGCCACGACAGGGCCGCAGCGAGAGACTTGGCGAGCGTCATGATGATGGAGCTGAGGTAGTGACAGACTGAATGGACGGCGCCCGAAAAAAAAGATCAAAGGAAAGCGTCCCGAGAGAAGGTTGAATATCAATGACAGGTTTTCGGGAGGCCTGGCCCTATGTAATAACAAATAACACTCAACCTCACAAACCCTTTGTCATGACAATGCCGCTGGAGCAGCTCTCAAGTCGGCGGCATCCTTCTCCAGTGATACATATACCCCTGACCAGCCATCCCCGCACCGAAATGCTTGGGACAAGCAATCACCAGACGGGGCGATGGTCTGCTTTGGGCCTGGCGCTATCAATTATGGACATGACCTTCCGGACCCGGGTCGCTAGCCAGGAACCAAACTTCGATATCGGTCAGCCACTGCGACGTTGCGAAATGAACCCTGCCATGTGTTGAGCCCTGCTGTCTATCACCCGTCTAGATCTCGTTCTTTATCTGCAATCGCGGACACGAGACGGCAATCCGGCACCCTCGGCCATGTGA